TTTCTTTAGTATTCGCATTACAAAATGCAAAGATTTCCACGTTTTTCTTACTGTCTGATTTATATGTATCTCCCATCCTAATTTACTATCTAGATGAATGCCTAAATACTTGCATGATGAGACTTGGGATGATAACCTCACCTAAACGATAGTCTGGTTCCTCTTAATTTCGTCCCCGCCCGAACAAATATAAGCAAGATTACAATGCTAATTTATCGACCAGTTATTTTACATTTGAAATTATTTATTATTAATTCATATTTTTAAACTTTTAATACCTTAATTTTAACATTTGATTACTTATTAAATTTACATTCGGATTTCATATCAAAATTTTAAACTATAAAAATTACGTTTCGACAAAACATTATTGTCTTCATCAGGTAAATCAGTCTAAACGTTTGACAATATGATTAGTTCCACATAAATCTAAAGTATTTTATCGAAAATAAAATTCAAGTGATAATTAATTCTTCGTAAATCGATTAAAAAGAACGAATATAAATGTATTCGATATCACATCATGTTTGCAAGTGGAGTTTACGAGTCCAGATTGACGTAAATAAGTAGAGCAAAGATCGAATTTACGGTTGAGTTTACAACATTACTCTGATTTAACCTCAAAATTAGTTATTAGAATGTTTTTACACGACGAAGCTCGCCGATTTTTGCTCGTTCTGCGCAGCACCAGTTTGCATCACGAACCACAGCACCGACACTCACTTTCGCTCACTTTTAGAAAGTCAGACCCGACACAGAAAGAAAGACCTGACGCTGGCCACCATGTTGCATGGAGAACGAGAAGTGTTGATAAACATTTTGAAAGAGGCTATTTTTAATAGTGACCTACCAAAAACAACACGATGAAGATTTTCAATATGCAATATTTAAAAGAAATACTTCATATATCCGTTTCAGTAACTTGTAGCAGGGTAATAATTTTGTTATAACGCTGAATTTAAAATGTCCGCTAATATTGTGACGCAAACTGGTGCATAAAGCTCACTGGCTGAAATCGGATACGATGCGCCCACTCATGTATTCATGCGCTGGCCGAAAAAGGTCGAGATAAGTTCAACCGATTATTATGACTGACAAAAGAGTACAATGCTGTGTTGGCCATAATATTGTACATTCCCCCACCATTCCTTCAACACCGGAGTTGAGTCTTTTCCTATAGACTACATGGTTTGAACATAGGGACATGGAACATGATTCCATGAAATTTCATATTCTTCCGTGAAGGTTTTTTACAAGTACATTATGTTAAGTAGATTTAAGGTTGTAACAGTGGTTGACAATTGTGAAGTGGAATGAGTATTCCTATTCAATTGTTGAACTTACAAGTATGACTGTATTACCCGAGCACGTTTTCTTGAGACCTCACCTTCCTAGATATGAGAAGAGAAGGGGTATTTCGACGACAGGACTATTATATCAAAACTGTATATCTTTTTCGATGCTAAATATTTTCTGTTACACGGGAGCGAACATTTCTGGTTCTTAGATTTTGTTAACAACGCTCTTCGCTAACATGTATTCTTAATTCAACTAATTTTATTAAATGAGTGGGGGTAAAAGGTTCTTCGGTTAGATGGGGCCATGAGGCTCCATTTGGGGCCCCTAAGTATTGTCTGAAAAAAAATATTATGTAATTTTGTCATACTATATTCCGAAAAGTTAATATACAAATTAAAATATGTGTTAATCCTTCCTTTTATGGTAAGCAGTCGAAATGCAAAAAGTTGGTAGAGTGATGAGATTAAAATTCCATTATGTTCAGAGGATTTTATATTGCTTTTTCAACTTCCCTTTAGACAACAAGAAATCATTACAGGGATTGTTTCATTTTTTTATCATCTGCGAGACCCACTTAACCATTGGAGTTCGAGGCACGAGCTTCGCCAGCCTGTGCCCAAAGACGGCCCTAGAGGTAAATATTTCTGGGCTCGGCAAAACTTGCGCGGATGATGAAGGAGGTGAAATGTTGAGCGAATCTTCTTTGCTTCACTGCCATAATTTGGAGTCTTTTTAAGAATTTATTGTTTGAGCGTTTTTAAAAATGCGCGTTTTGAAGCTCATTTTCACTTAGAACTTACTAGTTGTCGAAAAACTTCATAAGAGATTATTTGAAGCAATGTACTCACAAATGCCATATAATGTATAAGAAAAATTTGTAATGTAAATATTGACATGAAGAACATTTCATTTTTTTTAAATTTTAGACAAAAAAGAATATGTGACATTTATGTAATGTTATTCAGTCCACTTAGGACTATCTGCACAAACAAAATTAAGAAAAATGGAGCCGTTTTAATTAAAATGGCTTTTGAGAGTTTCTAAAAAATGTTGAATTTTGAACCCGTTTTCACAGAATACTTTTGAGTTTTCGAGAGTCTTCATACAACATCATTTTAAGGAATAATACTCACAAATGTCATAATGTATATAAATCGCCGGTAATGTATGACGGATCCACAAATCGTGTATTCTGAGAAGACAATGTGTTAGAGAAAGTAAATTACTACAAATTGAAACAAGATTTAATAATTTTTTCTGTATCAATGCAGATACGAGTTTTTCTGTTGAAATATCGCCCTTTTTCCCCGCAGTATCATATTACTTTCTCTATACTACGTATACTATTCCATATATTTGTACTTATACGAGAAAGAAAAACAATTCGTAATACAGTTCTATATTTATATTTCGCGGCATGTCTAGACGCACGTGACGAGCAATAATTAATCATAAAAAGAACCAATGAAATCGTGGCCATTATAAACTTCCATGGATAATGAATCGTAATGCGAACCGAAGGAACGTTGCCTCGATGGTGACCACTGTTCACTAACCACCACAAACTACCGATCAACCGTATTTTATGGTTAAAAATATATAAATTTTAAAATGCCATTGTTATGTTATTCTATGATATTCCCAGGGTGATATATTCTTCATGTCTCAAGTAATACTTTGTGTTATGACCCACCTCTTTAACAATAATCCTACTGTTGTTATATTTAGTTAACTTGTAAAATACAAATTAAATACATTAATGAAACAATATTACAAGGGCTATTTCTAATCTTTTGAAGATTTTAACTAAACATAAAATTTATATTTATGTTTATTTAATTTAAATAAACTTAAAATTTAAGTAATTTTATGTTTAAGCAAAATAATGTTTTCAGAATGTTAGAATAAATGTCAGATTAGATTATTGCAGGGAATCTGGAGGGCAGCTAATTATATTCAAAAAAATTTTCTCCTTGATATACATAGAATTTAATAGCTTCTGTCAATGATTCCAAGATTAGTGGAAGCTCTAAATCAAGGAATGCGGTCTGATCCATATCCTACCTCCTAGAGCACCACAAAATGATTATCTATGAAAGGGCGTACATGGCCTAAACCTTGACAAATCAAGAGGTGCTCATCTGCAGAAAAATCTACCTGCTGAGAGGTCCCTCTTGGCCTTGTAGAGAATGCCTGGTTCACAGGTCTTCTCCCCTACCCAAAATCACTTCCACGATGATCACTCTTTGCGATCCTTCTCAGTGTAATTTCTCACCCCTAACATAAATCCTGGTTATATTCATAATTATTTTAATAGTAAGATTTAATAAAATAAATAATATTACAAAATGCTATTACTACCAACAGTAAAATAAAATCTTTATTATTTAAGTTGCAGCTTATCTCCATGTATCTTCAATTATTGTTTAATCTCTGTTCTTGAGAGAAAAACAACCCTGAAGTACTATAGAATATTGCAACACAAATATATATTTATATTGGTATTTTGGTAGAAAATACTCACTTTAAAGTATTTTAGCACCAAAATAAACAAAGGGAAAAATTAAAAAAAAAATTACAATAATTACAATAAATAATTACAATGCTGATAGGTCCTTCATATTATTGTTCCAGCTTATCTCTGAAGTATTTTCATTATTCTTTAATAATTATTCTAGCGAACAACATAAATGAAATTCCTGAAGAATAGAATCAAAATTCGTTGTAAATGAAAATCAAATCATTCGTATATTTGATTTTCAATAACGGATTGAAATAGAATTACAAACCTGCGAGGGCACATTGATTCTTGGAACCAATAATTAAAAGTGATTTCAAAACAGTTTGGCGGGAATTCTACACGCGACTAAATAACTGTGATGTTTATTCGTAGATGGCGTTGCATGCAGTGATTGTTACACACAGAGCATTCTCCAACAAATAGTCTTGTCGGGTGTACGCAAAGTTGCAAAAGCTTTCAATTGGGTCGCTATAGTAACATTTAAGGTAAGCAGAGTGTCTATTATAAATAATTATTACAGTGCGATGCGCTTCCAGTGTGATTCTTGTTTGTTTATTGCGAAAAATATCGCTATTGTTATACGTTTGTGCAACACTAACAGCAAGTTGATTGTTTAATGAAACATGGCGTGTTGTTGAAGGACACGCCTTTTGTGCGTGAAATCGATGAAATTTGTATCTTTTCAGTCAGGAGTGAATGAATTAGTATTGAATTACAAACTGATCAAATTTTTCTTTCATCACGTGTTATGCCGTATTCCGGTGTCTACCTTGTTGCATCGCGTTGGCGTTGTTCGTATTCTTTTCTGCTGTTCGGCATTGCTGTCATTTCTCTTGCGCAATAAAGTATTTGGCACCCAATGACACTTTAGGTATTAGGGGAAGTATGTTAATGAATAATCCCATTACGAGGTGTAAATATACTTTTGATAGAAATAACAATTGGGGCAATTTTACGTTAGAACTGTGTGTAATCTCTTATCAAAGTTATTCACTTTCATTGTAATTTTGATTTTTGAAACGGTATTACTTTAAAAAGATTTTATACTTGGTAAGAGCCTCTATTACAACAAATAATTTTGTTTTGGAATATTTAAAAAAATGTTTTGGTAAATTGTATTGCTTGTATGTTATTGTAGTTTATGATTTATATTTCTTATGGAATGGAATGCTGTAAATATGCTTGTAATTTTCATTTGAAATCTGTGACAGGCTATGTATGTGTTGCAATGCCATTTACTGTCTCTGTCAATGTAAACTTTAAATGTTGTGTATGAGGAAAGTCTCCAAATATAAGATATATGAAGTTAGTGATATATTTTGAACTTACAAGATTGAATGAGCACAGTTTTCTGTATTTGCACAATTCAAGTTGTATGAAGTTATAGTTAAAATGTTTTTGCCATTTCTAGAATTTCTACCATGACATCTGGTCAACAATTCAATCTGCGATGGAACAACCATACCAACAATATCTTGCAGGTTAGTTCCTTTTACCGAATTCTTGTTTGTGTGCTTTCTTTGCAGTTAGTAATTTGAGAACTTATATGAATAAATGAATCTCATCTCTTTCAGGTTTTCATGGAACAGTACACAAGTGAACATTTAGTTGATGTCACTTTATCTTGTCAAGGACAATTTCTCAAAGCTCACAAGATGATACTTTCTGCTTGCAGTCCCTATTTTCAAGTAAGATAATGTTCTTATATGCAACAAGTTGTTTGTGTTAGGTTTTTTGTGTAATGTTAGTGAACATTTTTAGAAGAAACCTGAATTTCCCTGGATGGTTTGTCATTTTTATGACATTAATATGCTTGTGCGAACTTTAATTGCTGAAAGTACTTATTTAAAATAAAGGAATGAAATCAAATCAAGATATTTTTTTGTCTTTCCTTCCACACCATTTCGTTGAAAGTATTCAAAGTGCAATAAAAGTGGCAAATAGTTAAGAAAGAACTTTATCTTTGAAAGCAAAACATTTAAAGACTGTTTTTCTCCATGCTCAAGAAATTATTTTACAAAATTTTGAAGATACTTGTTCTAATAATTTATTTGTTTTTGAAAGGAACTTTTTCGTCAACATCAAGTCCAGCATCCTGTTATAATTATGAATGGGATGAAGTTTGTTGATATTAAACTTGTGGTCGAATTCATGTATCGAGGAGAAATCAAGGTGAGTCTTCAGTTGTTTAAAATTTTATGTTCTTATTGACATAGTGCATTGTTACATACATAAATAACAATTTTTTGTGATTATAGGTTCTAGAAACAGAACTTGATGGTTTACTAGCAACAGCTGAAACACTTCAAGTTAAAGGTTTATCAAATGTGAGGAATAAATATGAAAAAGGTGATATTCAAGGAAGTGAGCCACAACCCCAAGTATCAAGAAGTGATCACATGGTATCTGCTGAGAGAGCAACATCTGTTACTCCGGGTACACCTATGCACCTGAGGCGAAAACGCAGAAAACGTTCTGATTCTCCTGTAAGTTGGTTAATTATATTTATTTGTGCTATATAATGAATTTTGATTAAGGACAAGTATATTTGTAATTGGATGTGTTGTTTTTAAGGCAGCAGAAGTTCCAGACTCGGGAGATAAAGATGATTGTCTCACAACTTCTGCAAGTTCAGGCACACCTTCAAGTTCAGAAAAGGGGTTGCAACCATTTGTACAAGTTACAATGAAACCATATACTGATGATGATGATCTTCCTGCAACGGTATGAATTTTCATTTTTTTATGATCCATCCTCATGTTCTTGCTAATATAGTAGTTAATCCCGGTACTTCCCTTCATTGTCATGATTGTTACCACCTTGTTAACTCTAATCAAAAGACTGAATTAATAAATGTACACTTTGAAGTTGGAGGTACGAAAAGTAATGTTTTAGATTCAGAAATGCCTTCCAAAAACAGTTTCTTGCAATATTTAATTTAAAAATTTTAACAGATGCTTTAACATTTGCTGAAGAGTAATTTTTTTCTTGTTTGCAAAATTCTCTCAAGCAGACAAAATATCAATGTGATGTTTGGAGCATGTCTGCACAAACAGTGTACTCATCTTCCATATCAGAAGAGTTTTGAATGGGCCATGAAATTTTATGTCTTTGACTGTGACTTGGTGATGGGAAAATTTATTTCCTTGATATGTGGGCATTTGTTGTTTTGCGCACTACCAAAATGAAGTTTGTCAGAATAATTGAAACGGTTTTCGTAATTTGTTATATTTTCTTGATGCTATGACATAAGAAAACTACAGTCTTCAACATTTCTCCAAATTTTAATCTTAAGAGTACCTACTTTAATAAATCATATTTTTTCAATAAATAGCTAGTAGTATGTGTAGCGTTAAACACCTTGGTGAATTCCAGTCTCGGTTTGTTATGCCAAACGCAAAGCAAAGCAAAATTGTATTGAAGAAGAATGTATCATTATTTCTCTCTGTCAACTGCCGAGTATTAAATTACAATCAGCAGCCAAGAGTAATGCAGGTCTGCTATCAGTAATTTATGACAAATTAGTGGTAAAGGTATCAGAGCTAGATGTATGTACAGAAAAGTACATTATGGAACTACTGTTGGCATTGCCTTTCTCTCAAATGTCAAGCACAATGAAATTTGTCTTGGTTATACAATTTTGATAGTTCAATAATTTTATTAAATGAATATATAATATATTAAAAGTGTCAAGCAATGTTGGTTAATACATTTAGTGAGAGTGCTTGAGAAAAATCTAAACTTCTGTTTGTCTGTCAATTGTTTATAAGGCAACCTACTTGGCATTTATGCATTTCAAGATTTTGTGTAGCAGCATTCATGCAACATACATTTTTGTTGGATACAAGAAGGAAATAAAAGACAATAAGAAATAGGAGGGGAGAGAAAGGAAAGAGAAGGAACAAAATAGAAAAGGAAAAACAAAAAGAGGGAGAGAAAAATGTGAGAAGAAGAATAAGGTTAGTGAAGGGTGAAAATGAAATTGAGGAAAAGAAGAGGAGGAAAGAGAACAGAAGATCTGATAGATGTTGTGTTCCATATTTATGTAACAATCATGTACTTTGTCCATTCTTATTTCTCGTTTATGCAGTGTGCAACATTGGTACAACAGAACTATGAAAAATAAATTACATAAAATCTTAATAATATATGCTGAAATTGGCGGATGTCCTTAAGAGATGAATTTTTTAAAAATATTTCATCCTTGCTTGATTAGCAGTAATTGGCAAATAGGGTTGAAATCCTTATCTTCAAATACATTTTGTTTCTTGTATCATTATTGTAATGTCAATCAATCAGACATGCCTTATTTTACATGGCGAGAAGCCATCTAGGCCTGCTCTTCTGACTGACCATGCAAATTTCACTATGATTTTTTCACTATGTAGCGGAGAAAGAAGGTATCATTTAGGTGAAGAAACAGATAATTTAAATTTAGCTCAGAGACTTCTTTTAGGCTAGAGGATCTTTTACGTGCAGTAAATCTTCAATGTGGACCAGTCAGCTTTACTTCTCCTTTGAAAGAAAGCATGCTAAGGAATTTTTGCCCTTAAAAATCCACATCTTCAATCAGGTTTGAGCCTGCAAACTTGGGTATAACATCCCAATTCACCCTACTATTATATAACTGAAAATGTAATGCATTTACTTTCCACAAGTGTGACTTGCTTTGAATGTAGTATGTTTGAAGAATGACTTGCATTTCTCTCAAACTTAGGCCTACTTCATTAAGTGACAGGAGTCAATGTAGAATGGTGTTACTCTCTACATGTTTCAACAGTACTGCTCACACTATTCAAAGTCTTTTGCACAAGCAAGCTGTTAATTAAAGTGGTGTGAAGATGTGCAGTTTGGTAGTTTTTGATGGTGCATGAATGCTCTAGACCTTAAAAACAGCCCATATGGGTTAAATACTTTTTAACAAATTGAGAAAAGAACAGAAAATTTGGGAAATTTTATGATACATTTATATTTTGCGAAGATAGTTTTGTGAGTCACATGCATCTTTAATCCTTGTTAACTTGCAACCCTACAGGATTGTTAAAGGCACTTGTACCAAACTGTATTTTAAGAAATTCGACATCCTTAGCAACATAAATAAACAACCATCGATTCAAAGATTAATGTCAAATGTTGCAAAAATTGCAAGTCAAATGTTTATTAAGAAAGCAAACCTGACAATGTTCAAAACAAATCAGATTCAATCAATTCAGAATAAAAGTAACTCGTGTTAGTTTTGCAGATAATTATTGTTTATTGTAATAGTTAATAGTGCAATTAAAAAATGTGCTTTAGGTAAATTAACCTCATCTTCTTGGTATTCCACCAAATGAAACTGTTTTCCAGTAATCATATTTACTGACGATCTGAAGGTGTTTCCACTAGAAGTTGACGTGCCAACTTCCTCACCAAACATCATTTCTTTAGGTATTTTTAGGTCCAGGAGAATTATTTGCATCCATCTTTTTTCAAACCACAGTATACGAATAATGTTTAAATAGATATATTGCTAGCAATACCCCACACTATTGTTGTAACGTGCGGCACCAAGAGAAGTCATTTGTTTCTATTGCAATTCACATAAATCGTGAAATTTTATTGTGATCATTAAAATGCTGAACATACCATGAAATGTTACGAGTGTTATTACTGCCTTATCCAAATTAAAAATCTTGGCTCCGCCATGTCCCTCTCGATTTTTAAGTCTGCAATAATATTCATAACATTTCTAGGTATGTTAATAATTATAACAGTGTATCATTTGGTGTGTAAAACAAATTTCATTATTGCTCTGATGTAATTGAATCACATAGTTATTAAGTGGGTAAAAATCAATTTGAACAATGTTGTTAGTGCATAAATGATTTGTCCTAGTGTTGCATGGTGTGCACTGGAGGCAGTAATACCAAGATGTCTTTTACTGATATGTAAGAATCCCTGTTTAAATTATAGTTTCTGTAGAAGATTGAAAAGGATACAAAATAAAAAAACTGAAGCTGAGAGAAGACAGGAGTTAAGTTTTCTAATGAAACAAATGTTTAACATCTTTATACGTATGTGTGAAATCAGTCATTTGCTTTAGAGACATTTATTTTGCTTTGTTGGGGAACCTTACTCCTATTCAACTAAAAGTTTGATTCAATTGGTGAAAATGTTTTAAAAAACCTCATAAATAAGTACTAAGAGACTTATTTATCTCATCACTATTTTTTATACAGATAATAGAACATGTTCCTTTAATATTTGGTGGATTTATGAATTGATTAATGTTAATTATCCCAACATTGTAAGTCTGATTTAAAATATTCTTTATTGGTTATGAAATATGTTTTCAAATTGCTGGCAATGTTTATTTTAAAATTTAGTCACCTGGGAGTTGGCAACTGATATCATGTGTATGAATTTGAACAGAGAATGAAGAGATCCAATAACATACAGCATTGTTCTGGCATGGAAATTTAATCTCGCTAGTAATACTTCCTCACTCTTCACTTTAATTTAAAATACTATGCATTTGTTTAAATCCTACAAGACTGTACCCAACACATAAATAAATATATTAACTGCAATAGTTTTTTCAGAACCGAGACATGGGGGTGTTTTTTATATATGCAATTTGATGAAGGAATCTTTTCTATACTCTCTTAATAGTATCAATACAAAATTGTGTATAAGGTGACAACATCACGGACACATATTTCAAAAGAGGACTAATGAAGGAAAAGTGCAAGATCTTCAAGGTTCTAATGTTGTTAAAGTCTCTAGTATTTCACATAATGAAACTCGAAGAGTTCTCATTGCATTGTTGGCAGTCTTCGAAACATGTAAATTAAAATCCATTTTGCTGTCAAATATTACTCCAAGATCTTTGATGTTATCAACAGTTGTCTGCGGACAATCTTTCATGAAATACTGATAATATATACGATTTCTAAGATGAGAAAAAGTTATAACAAAACATTTATCTGTGTGTAGTTGCATCACATTAGCAGTGCACCGCAGATTCAAGTTATCGAGATCTTGCTGCAAATGCCAAGCTTGTTCACATCTCAGATTCTGGAGTATACCTTGGTGTCACAAGCATGTAATAAGGCACAACTATAGGAAAAGACAGATGCATAGTCATCAATAATATCATGAAGAGAATAGGACCTAAATGAAAACTGTGGGGGACCCCTGATACCACGTGAAAAGACTCAGAACAAATGCCATTTACAGACATACTGTGTTCTACCGGTCAAATAAGAACTTATCCGGGACAGAAGATGTTAATCCACGCCCATCCTGGGTGAATGTTATGATTAACTCTGTTGAAGGCTTTAGTAAAGTCAGTATAAATTCTGTCTACTTGGTAACCGTCCTCAAATGCATCAGTGATACAGCATCTAAACATTGTGAAGTTTGTAATAGTTGATCTGTTGCTCTTTAAGTCCATGCTGACTTTCAGAAAGCAGATTCTTGAAATTCAGCATGATGAATTAAATTTGCTTTTGAAACAATTTTGGGTAACACTGAAGATAGAGATTGGATGGTAATTCGCAATGTCTGATTTATTGCCCTTCGTATGAATGGGAATCACTTTACTTGATTTCCACATCGTAGGAAAAATACTATTGGGCAAAGGGTGATTAAAAAGTATCCAAAGTGGTTGCGAAAGAGAATATTTACATTCACATAAGATGATATTTGGAATTAGGTCAGGGCCAGCTCCCTTGTCAATATTCAGATTACCAATTGCTTCAAAAACATCTGGGGTGTTAATATCAATATAAGGAAAGTCATTCACACAATTACTGTCCAAATCAAAAACACTTCAGTAATTCACTTTAGGTGCATGTACAAGGTAATTTATTCTGTGAGGTAGTATTTCTGGAATGTCTCCAAAATGTCCGAGAATCATCAGCGATGGACAATTTAGTCAAAGTAACACATTTTTTATAGTCATGTCTTTTGAGGTATTTGCACTCGTATCTGAAGTAATACTGAAAATTTGTTGTATTTTGTATAGAGCAATAGTTAAAAATTTTAAATTGTTTGTAACATTTTTTTTCTTTTCACTTATCAAAGTTTTCAATTCAGTGTTATACCATGATGGGTAGTTTGAATCTTAAATTATACGTTTAGGAATGTAAAGATCTATCGGAAAATATCTGATCTACATTATCATTAATATCACAATTTTTAAAGCCCAAGTCGCAATCAATACAATTTTGACAATAACGTGTATAGAACAATAATCTCACCCGTGAAAGTCGTAATAAAAAAGTTGGCACAGTCGGCAACATTAAAGAAGATGAATTGATCACAAATGGGAGCTCAAAAATCAGAGCAGGGTGGTGTGCATCGCACATTAACAGGACATATATACACTTGTGACAACAATGGAATCTTGGTTGAATAAAATTAAGTTGAGCAGTTCATGCGAGTTCACAACATTATTGTGCTGATAAACATCGGCAACAGCAAGTCTATCCAGCATTGACCAGGCAGCTTCAGCCATTCATTAGGGTGAAGACAGTACTTTGGATCCATCCAAAAGATCATTCCAACAGACTCCAGGAAGATTGAAGTCTCCAGTAATCAGCGTGGGTTGAGGTCAATGTATCTCAAGAACTCCCCGAAGACACTTTGCATAACTGGCATATTTCTCAGGAATTTTGAGAGAATCAGCATTTCCTTGCAAATATCCATTGTTAAATTAACCCAATTCCACTAGAATTTGATTGGCTGCTTCCGATATTAACATTTATTAAAATAATTATAAAAAATGCCTTCTGAAATATGTTGCAATATTTAAAATGTTTTGTTTGCAGATAAAAGTTGAGCCTCCAGATATTCGAGATATTGACGAGGAACCTTCTGGTTGGGAGTCGCCAAAGCTAGTTATTGATTTGGTAAGTTTGTTATTGAATTTTATTGAAAAATTCATTAATTTATTACAAATTCGTCTTTAAAAAATATCATGAACATTGAAAGCACTTCCATAAGCAACATTCTGTAATTATTTCCTGTGCACAGGATCACTAACAGTGTTTGAGAAATCTAAGAGTAGGTAATGGGGGAATTCAAGTAGAGATGATTTTTTTGCTTGATCACTTCTACTGTTGTATCCCCTACTATTGTAACTGTAAATAATTGTTAGAGAAAACTCCAATTATTCACATTAGGCAGGGATTGGGTTAATTCAGAAGTTACTATGATTTGGATGTAGTTTAGAAATTTAATTAAAAACACATCAAGTATATAAGAAACCATGAAACTTCATGAAATTAATTTTATGTATAAAATTATTTTTAATTATAAGGTTTTATTAATATAGGTAGAGTTATCATCTCGTAGTTGCAAGTGAAGAATATTTAAAAAAATTAATTTAGAGAGAAAATATAGCAATAATTGTTTATTTAACATTGGATTAGAAGATATAAAAGATTAGTACTTATATAAAATCTGATATTTATTACAATAATGTATTGAATTTCTTTAAATTCATGTAAATGACCAACATACACAAACACAAATCAATATTGATGACAATTTACGCTGTATCCTCTTTACTTGTTGAAAATGTAATTTTAAATCATAATGTAAAATAATAAATAGATGATGAATATGTACTAGTTTAATACATTTTATGTTAATGAAAAAAATTAAATGACTTCTAATTTTGAAATGCCATAAGTATTATTCATCTGGAAATGTATAATGAATATTTCATTATTGTGGCACGAGCCATATTTCCTTTTGAAGCATGTTATAACAGCCTTTGTGCCATGTGATCCAGCTCCCATCTCTTCCTCCAGAGACTTGCGCCTGCTTGCACTTCTCAGATGCTGCCTCACTTGGCACCATATTTTTACTAAAGGCCCTGTAGTGAGCTTAGAGCAGTAAAATGCTATGTTCATACTTGACACAAGTACGTTGTGGGTAGGCCAGTGACTTCACTTGCTGCCTGTCCACACAGAAGACCTCAATTTCCATTTATGTACAAGCGGAGAAAGTGATTATTACTTAGGTAGTATTTATTTTTCATTTTAAATTACTATGCTACAGATTATTAAAGTTAATTGATTTCTTTTATCTACATCTGATTTTACGGTAATATTACGTCAGTTGCAGTGAATGAACTACTACATTCATTGTTTTCTCATCTTAACAATGTCAAAAGAGACAATAATAGTGAACACACTTCTTTGTTGAGTACGGTTGTACATCATGCTGGAGGGGAAAATGCAAAAAGGTTCAGTCTTTTGTGGACAGGTGGCTAATAAGTATTGAAGTTAAAGCTAGGTTTTATTGTTGGCCATGACTTTTATGGTCATTTAAGGAGAATACTTGTAGTAGAGATGGATATTTTGATTTGAAGAATTGGTACTCTACCAGAAAAGCTTTGGAAAGACTCAGAATGGTTTCTGCATTATCATTGAGTAATTATTTCAATAAACAGACATATTTCCTAGTGTAGGAGTTTTATAATGGCAATCTATAAATCAGGAAATAATGACAGTTAAAGGTTCCACACCTGATAATGTTGCTTAAAATATTCAAGTGTTCAAAATATTATAAGCCTTAGAGAATGAAATCAATGTATCTCCTGTAAGGTGAAATAATTGTGATTTGTCACAAAACTATCCAAATGTTTTGTTCTTTCTAGTTTTGTTTTTACTTTGTTTTTGCTAATTTTTCTATTTTCGGTTTATTTATTTTTTAAAATTTTTAGACGTGTAACTGTAATCATACATTCAAATATTTTTTTTTCAGCCTGAATCATCAGGGGATCAAGGTAAATCAAATTCTGTGTCACCAAAACCTTCTCCAAAAACAAATAAACCTGTTGTTAAAGGTAAGACTTGATTTTCTATTCAAAATTAATTTTAAATAATTCTTAATGATTGTCTGCATTAAGGATTATCTTGCCTTCTTAGGCAAAAATTGTAGTTTGCTCTTATTGAATTGTAACTCAATCAACAACAGATGTAGTGACACTTTAACAGAATTCATAATTATCTTTATCATCACCACATTGCTGGAAAGGACATTCCAAAACATATCTGTGACGTGATTACAGAGCTTTTAGGGCAGTAAACAATTATAATGACAGCTTCTACACCAGATGACTCGCCTAAGACCGCATCGCTCTCCGGCTAAATAGTCTCCTGTCAGTCAGAGTAGCATTAACAGCTCGCGGCAGTTGACTGAATTTTGTTGTTAAATGTAGTTTTGATCGCGTGGAGGTTTGAAACAGTTTTCACGAGAGATTCATTGAATTCCGTATCATTAATGATGAAAAATTATTCTAAGTGATTCAAAACATTTCAAAATACTGTTGAGAACATGTGTGATTGATTGAATTAAGACATCAGATACGAGAATGGTATGGAATATACTGCAAAGTTACCACGTAGGCCTTGTAAAAAACTATCGGAATATTTCCGGTACTTCTCGATCTTGCGTGTTCAGAAGATTCAAATTAATGTGTGCTGTATAATGTTTTGCAGTTATGATATCTGGTGTTTATAATTACGATTTCATTTTCACGTTGCTCATCTTATGACTGACAGTCAGTGTATCAATTATTGATCAGTGACTTATAAATATGGTTAGTTAATTGTGAATTGTGAGTGTTTCATTTTGTCTGAGAGCAATGGGAATATGACATGTCTCCCAGGTATATTTTTATTAGCAAGCAAAAACTTTGTGTTTGTCTTGATAGTATTATGTGAAAAATTAAAAATGGCCAAAAGGCGATTTTAAGCTCTTTTGACCATGCATCAAAGAAATTTGAAAAGTTAGCAAGGTCTTAAGTATGTATACAAGGTATGTCCCAAAAGTAATGTATAGCATTTTTTAAAAACAAATTTATTAATTAGATAGGAACAGTAACTTAAAATTCTTCTAAGTATAACTCTTGTGCGATGATACATTTTTGCCAGCATGATATCCTTGCCTCATACACTCCCACTAAGCCCTTGGAGAAGAAGTCTTTTAGTGTTCTAGTCGTACTTGTTTCAATGTTGTCCAAAGTCTTGAAATGCATTTCTTTTGTGACCTTTCTTGGACAAGGGAACAAAAACAAAGTCCACCAGAGCAAGGGCAGGACTATGGGATGGTTGTGGAAACGTTGCCGCACTGATGCAGGTCTGGTTGTCCCTGACAACGAATGGCAGTGTGGCCGGCGCGCTGTTGTAATGATACTTCTAGGAAGTGTAGATCTACTTTCAGCTGACCCTGTCTGTGAAACTGTTGTTTGCAGAACTGGGTGTTTACGGTGTGTTCAGGAGGTACAAACTTGCTGTGCACTATCCCCTTTGTGGTGTCAAAAAAGCAATGAGCATGATTTTCACGTGCGATTTGCTCATGTGACCTTTCTTGGAGCATGGAGACGTTGAGGTGTGACACTCTGTACTCTGCTCCCTTTGTTTCTGGGTTGTACTTGAAGATCCACGTCTCAGTCCCAATGATAAGTGTCCAAAAATTATCATGAGAAATCTCAAAAGTTTCCACAGTGTCTTATTCTGCTTCATCCAAAACTTGATTGAATATCTTTAATCCTAAGATTTCTCCATTGTAAACCTGACACAACTACTACTCAGGAGCTTACACACTTACACGTTCTCACCTCCCCAGGGCACAGACACAACTGAACTAGGAACTGTTGAAGCTAAAGTCCTTACTCTATCCAAACTAGTCTGATTGTTCTATGACTTAGAGTGGCATCAAAAAAAATTGCTACTCCTTACTATTGGAATAGACCTTGTAATGTAACTGTACTTGCGAATTAACACAATTGAAACTTCTACTGTGCTGCTGATGCAGAATACTGGTTATTTGTCAAGCTACAACACGTTATAATGATAATCATTGCATAAATAAAAACAATATTTGTTATTAGGATCTTAACAAATGTTACTCCTTTATACCCTCTGTAAATGAATAAATCTGAAAGGTATCTGTGAGGAATATGACCATGCCAGATTACTGCTATAGAGAGAACAATTAGAAAATAATTTATCGAGTAGCTAGGAGTTTGAAGGTCGATAACAAAGAAGTAGTAATTCTTATTAAGAGAAAATTTTATTATTCTTAGGGAAACACTTCTGAAGAAAACATTGTGGATGTTCAAGAGACTTTGTTGCTTGCAAATGATCATAATTAAAGAACTTGCTTGAAAACATCCTTAAAATTGAGTGAGCAGGTGTACAATAATATTTTATCAGCAATCATTAAATGACAGGGCCCCAATTTTTTTTCCGTCTTATTCCAGTGCATCCCTTTGAACACTTTTGCTGCTAGAAATGATTTGTTGCATCCTATATTTAAACGCATCACAAAAAAGTTCTTTACATTAATTACTTAGCTTTTAAATACATTACCTAGATGTTTTACACTACATTATTGTTTTTGCTATTAGAACTCCATATGTCTGTCAGTTTCAATTGCTTTGTGTTGCGCTGAATGACATTCCTCTCTAAACATTCCTTCACTATGCATAATTGTTCATAAAGTTTGGGACAATTTTTGTTTTCTGCAAAGATTTGCAGATTTTTTATATTCTTCAATGCAAGAGAGAAGTTGACAATTGTAGACATGTCATCTGCTTCCTGCTCCTCATTGTCATCATATTCATTTTCTTGCTGGTAGTCACTTATGATAAGTTCTGCTGTAGAAACAACTTGCTGATACATGGGTACATTATTATCGCCATTGATGTACTCTGTAGAATCTGTATCCAACCCTCCCTTTGAACATCTGACTTTTACACATTTGTTTCACCCTCATCCATTCGTGACTTTGTGGGGAGTGCCTTAAAAAACAAACCAATTTCATCACTGTTACATATGTCTTCTGGTGTGAATCCCTTCACTAATTCTTTTAGCTTTTCCTGCCAGTCTGAAACTACAGTCACAATTACATGACAGGCAATAACAAACCACTCAAACAAAAGATCATTCAGTTCTTCATATCCTGTCGTTTTCAGTTTTTGCTTGACGTCACCATTATTACCCCTAAACCAATCACTCACAACGCGTTATTTATTTTAAAAGATGTCATACATTTAAGTTTAACCACAACCATTCTGACCATTATTTTCCTTATGCACAATTTCTTGTTTCGATGTAATTCAATCACTCTCAATTTATCACTTAATGTGAGTACTGTATTTTTCCGCAACTTAGTTGATGAGATTCAGTACAATGTTCTGTTGCTCACTGCTGTCACTTAATGACTCAAACTCAACTGTGTCACAATACTGGAACAGCTGAGCCCAAAATTCCAAAATTCTTATAGCCAAGGAGTGAGGGAAGAATAAATGATAGTTTGATGAAAGCATGAATACTGACACAGTTGCTCATGCACTGTCTTGGCGTGTAAAAGTGGCCACCTTGGCCGTCTAGAGCAGCAAGTACCAACCAGAAAGGAATGAATCGTCTGCACCTCCTGGTACAGAAATGAATTCCATTCGTGGCATTCTTGTGTAGTTTGGAAGAGTGTGTGAAATGGATAATGTGTATTTAGACGAAGACAGCATAACTTTTTGTTTTGGAGAGTGGACAGTGGGTTGTGAATACTAGACAATATGAGAGGGTTGCCGTTTCTGCGTTGGATAGTTTCCATTTCATTTTGGTGAAATAACAAGTAAATGCATATGCTTTTCCTCAGGACCTAAAATATTTTCCATCTTGGACAGGTTTCTGACTTATTCAGGTTCTGTTTTGAACAGGTTTCACTGTATTGAGTATGAAGAAAGGAAATGATTTCATGAGAGGAGGGAAATTATCAAAGACATGAGTTGATTCGTATTTGAACATATCATATATACATATCGTACAAAATCACTTATTTGTAAATAATACATGAAATAATTATGAAATTTAATTGAACTTCATTAAAATAACAAAAAATGAAATAACACTTCTTAGCACACAAATTTGTTTTTTTCAGTCATTTTTATTGTGAAGTTGTTGTTGTTATTATTATTATTATTATTATTATTATTATTATTATTATTTAATTCTCAGAAAATGAATCTGAATGTTTTCATGTTTGGGTATTAGACAAAATATAAAATAAACCATATTGTATTATTTTATGAAAAAAATTATATTTAATCGTCCAGAGGATCCATTTAGGATACAAAACTACTGCACCTGTACTACGTATACCTCCTTCCTACTTGCATCAATAAAAACTGGCTATGGAATAGCACTAATAAACCTTGGTATGTGGTGAGTGAGTGTTGGTTTGCGTATGTGATGTTACTGCTCATATAAACATTATGCACTGATTTTCATTTCAAGATTGAATTATTGATGTGATTCCAATACTGTTCCTCCATACTCTGTAGTATAGTTGCAAAAGTACTATAGTATAGAATATGTCAATAGCAAATGTCTCCTTAAAAGAGAAAATTAGCTAATAATTTTTATTCAAGTTAGTTTAGCTTTAACAGTGAGATAAATGATTTCTTGAAAGTTAAATTTAAACACAGATTTGAAGAAATAGCACATTTTCTTCTGTGATTTGCTTTCTTATATAAGTGCTTCCTATGCATGGGCAAAATCACCATTTATGAAATACTGGTGTGGTGGGTGGCTATGGGGTGATAAATTCCAGTTTACAGTTACTATTCTACTTTCTTTATGAAACCTAACCAGTTAACTGATTTTTATCAGAATCGGAGATGTTCATGAAAAAAGTGGCCAATTTGACATTCAAATATTGAATGACAATGAGTTCATTCAAATATTTATTTCAATGTAGATTAATATATAATCAGGGCAAGTAGTTTTCTGAAAATGATAAATATTCTTTTAGCAAGAAATAATTGATGTGGTAATTTTGATGCCACTATTGAAAGAGTTATTACTTTGTGGTCTGCAGGAAATCAACGATTGCACATGTTAGTATTGGTGTGAGGTGCTATTCAGTGGTTTATTACATCCATCAGTCATTTCAGGTGTAAGAACACAATTTACACCATATGAACAACTATCACTTACCAAGAGAGATTTTAGTGAAGACTGTTTAAGTTATAAGAACAGTAGCTATACCAGAGTGAAAGAATAAAACATTAGTACATGTGTTCACAGCATTTGTACACAGCTGTTTGTACTTGCTTGCCATGCTTTGCTATATATTACCAAAATAGATTTATTACTAAGTTAGCAGGTATTATTACATCCCAAATTTGCTGTGTTGAATAACACAAACAAACTCATGCTTCACTTGTAATATTATTTAAAACCCTGATACTTGTAATTCAAATTTCATGTTTATTTCAAGAAACAACTCTATTGGTTTATTATTTTATGAATTTACATTGATAATTGAAACTTAAGATGGTAGAACTAATCCTTCGGAATTGTCATTTCAAGAATGATTTTGATGAACATGTTTTTAGTGGATGCTCCTGACTTTCAAAAGCAGCGATTCCTTATGGATTTCCCCCAAAATGCCCCTGGTACCAGCCATGACAATGGGGATCTTGCACACCAGCTTTTGGAAAATCAACGTGAGCGAAAGCAAGTTTCACAGTGGCTTAGGAAGCGCACTGGAAAGATACCACGGCCACCTAATGCGTTTATGATATTTGCAAATGAGTGGCGTCGGAAACTTGCATTCCAGCATCCAAGTAAGTCTGTCGACCAGATATGACAGATAACTGTTATTGCCCAGAAAATTATTTAATGTTATGGATATCTTTAGTCAATTTCAATTCGTTGTTTTCCAGCTGAAAGCAACAAAGAAATCTCTGTTCGCTTGGGCATCATGTGGAAGAACCTCTCTTCTGATACCAAGGAAAGTTACTACACAGCATCAAGACAAGCAGATGAAGAACACAAAAGAAAATATCCTGGATATTACTATAGTCCAAAAGAAGCTCGTTTGCGGAAGACTTTAAAACATGATTTGGCAATGGCACGGAAAGGACCAAAAGCTCTAGAAGCTATGCATCTCGTGAAGGTGTGTTATTTCTGTGTTTATTCATGTTCTATTTCCAACATTAAATGACAATTTTCAAACAATGTCTTCCTCTTTATAGTGCATTCTAATTTATTTCTTAATATTTTCCCCTTTTTGCTAATTATTCCAATACATTTTGGGGATCGTACATTCCACATAAATAATTATAAATAGTTATTGATTTCTTTTTACTTGCCTTGAACGTTGCTTTTTTCTTTTCTCCCTCTTCAAAATTAATTTTCATTTATAATTCTCTTATTAAAGAGTTAAGATTGGTTATAATTGGATATGTTGAAAAATTGAAATTATTGATTTCTTTTTACTACTTTCATTAAATAAATTTGTTGTCTCCAGATTTTATTCGAAATATTTTTCAAATTCTTTATTTCTTTATTCGTTTTATGATTTTTCGTAAACAATTTTTTCTGTAATCTTTGGTCTTAAAATGTTCTGTAATTATTTTCTTATTCCATTTTGAATTTTTCAGGTTTTGATGACAGATGGAAATGACAACCCACCGTATGTCCTATTGCAAGATGCTCCTCAGTTGAGCCAACAGAAAGAACCACAAATGCATATTGCGAGGAAGAAAACTCCACGCATCATTAGACATGGGGCTCCTGAAAGTGGCTTGCAAGCCGAGCAAAATGTACAAAAGGAAGCCCTTGACCCACTTCAGCAACCAAAAGAAGCATTACCAAGCAAAGAAGCAATTCCAGGTGCACAAATTCAAACTGAAGTTGACTTGACGGATGAAAAGTAATTTTTTGCAGAAGAAAATTCTTTATCTTTACTATAGAATAATTAAACAGCTGTGAAATATTTGCCTTCAGTTGTGTGCTGTATAATTGGTAATATCTAGTATTTCATATCTGTGTAGTGCTGTATAATGTTAATGCAGCATTAATTGGCAGGTGAATTTTTTTATTTACTTTTTCTTAGATGTTTGCTTTTGACCCTAGCTTATTTCTGTTAATGCCCTTAATGACTGCAATTTTGTGTAATATTTTTGAGGTTCTGCTAATAAGAACCTGGAATAATTGTGATGAATGATCGAAGAAAATGGCATCAGCTTTTATTTTATGTGAACTTTATGTTGAGTGTCAAAGATAGTATGGTTTTGGAATAAAAGAATTTCCATACTTTTTTTATGATCAGACTTGTATTTATATGTATTATTTAACAGTTAATCATGTTATTGCATAAGTTTAATAACTAGGTTCCTATATTGTTTCAGAAATATTTGTAAAATTTGTTTAGTCCTGCCAAAGATCAAATAAGGTAAAAAGTTGCTTTCTTGTAGAATGTGCACAGGGCACAATATTTCCTACTTTAGTTGCTTTAAATTTTATACAATGTTGTTTCTAGTTGTACTCTCAGATAATATAGTAGTACTTTAATCATGTCAGCATTACTCTACTTTCATTTATTCTTTGTTACAATATTTTGTACATTTAACACTATAATAATTCATGCCTTGATTAGGCGTTCTTTACTGCTTTAGCAAGGAGAGTTTCTTATATAAAAATCAGTGCTGTTGTAGTTTTCTGTAATCAAAATGCTTTTAAGGTACTTTAACATCCCAGAAAACAAAGATTGAATGTAGACTGTTAAATTTGGAAACCTACAGAAAGAAAAATATGAAGCTGCAGCTATTGTCATGCAAATGTTTTAAACATATAATATTGGACATTTAATAATTCTTATATGGGTGGTTTTTAATCAGAGCAGTTCTAGATCCAACATTCCCATAATATGCATTTACTTCTTTTCTATTTATGAGGTTTTTCAGCCATGTTAAACCACATTGTTTAAGCAGTGACTCACTTGTTTTTTGTTGTTTTTTTTATCTTTTTAATGTCAAAGCGTTTTCATAAAGTAATGAGTGGGTTTATTTCCTTCTTTGTAAGTGATGATTAAATTTGTTATGATATATTTAATCACAATCATGGAAATATAATTTAATATTTTCGAATCATGTATTGTCAAGATAATGTTTCATTATGTTAATAAATGTCACATTGTACAATTTAAATCACCCTGTAGATTAATTCCAAAGTATGATAATTGTTGATATTTAATTTTGAGAAATTGTTTTTTCTCCTGCTATCATTATTCCAAACGAATATGTTCTAGGTATTTCACAGAGTATAATTTCAATTATTTTAAATTGGCTGTAAAGCTGATATTTGCCCTCTGAACAATAAAGTAATATTTTGAAAATATCGTTGATCATGAATACACTTATTGATATCTTTCAAATTTGTTTGACTGTTTTTGAAATTTTTTCTTCCATCTTAAATTCTTGTACATTTGCCCTCTCTCATTATTTGAATTTTCTGCTGATTATAGACATGTAATATTATTTGTAATGCTCAATTATTGACTTGTGTTTGTTACCATGTTTACATGTAATTAAGTTTAAAGTAATATGAACTGGAATTGCCAATCAAAAGTTATGGAAGTAAAAATTTTTTATTTGTGTTACTGAAGTTAATGATTGAAGTATCTTTATTTATATGTAATTATAAAATGATGTCTGAGCAGTCTCTTATCTTGATAAAAGAATTGGATTTTCATTTAGTAATATTTCATTTCAATCATGTTTTTTTCTTGTATGGTAGTGGAACTTTGATTCATCCATATTTAAATAATAGCATAGCATTTTCTCCCAGAAAGATTTTTTTTTTTGATAAAAATTACAAGAAACGTTCCCAGATTTTCCTGATTTTTTCATGTAGAATGTTATTAAATCTGTTAGTGTATATATGTTGAAAGTGACAAATTGTATTTTTGAAGTGCCTTAAACACCTCAAAGAATGAACTTGTGAAATTCACCGTTTCAAGTGTTTGTTCAAGTTTTTCATGTGGTAGGAAAATGAATGTTGCACATATCTTTGGAGTGTTTAATGTTTGTCTCTGAAATGGCAATTTCATATAAGTTAATCTCTCAGAGAAATTTAAACTGTCTTTAGTATTAGGAATAAAATTTCATTGATACTCAATAATTTTATTTCTGTTTATTCTGCAAGTAAATGATTGGTTTCAAGCATTTGTTTGCTAGATAACTTGTGTTCTAAAATGTTGGCTATGATGTATGAAGTTGCAACATAATATTGATAGTTGTAACAGAAATAAGAAATAGAACAAAGTGTAAGGACATAACTTTTTGTTTCAAATCAAGATATTTATTATATTTTTCATTGAGTTTTGGCAATTACATTTTTTATATTGCTCTTTGAGCAATAAGTTAACTAGGGTAGTTTATTGATTTGTTGTTCAGGGTTGTTGTCATATCATTTCAATTACTAGTTCCCTATATATTTCACGAACTTCACAGAGTTTCCATATTATGCAACTTCAAATATTTTTTTTTATTAAAGTATCATAACATTTCCATAAATGGTTAGTTATTAAGAACTTGCTCTGATGTGTGTGCACTTCATTAATTTGTATGCCTAGAATATGTGCTTGTGAAACAACATCTTCACCAACAGAACAATTGATCTAAAGACTTGTAAGATTAATTTTTCTTTTAAAATGAAAATCAGTCTTGCGGATGCCTGTTGCTTTTTGTGTAATTATGCTTCTTTTTAATAAACATGCTGACTTAAAAGTTAAATGTCTAAATGTTAATTGTAGATAATTTTATAGATATTTTTATCCAAGAAGCTTCACTTGTGCAAGTAAACATATTTTTAGTTAAAATAATAATGTTACACTCAGACTGATGGTAATGATGTTGAACTCACAAATGTTCTTAAAAATGTCTGTATTTGTACTGGAAACATTACCACACATTTCATTCATGATTACCGTTAATCCTGTAGTGAATGTGTAGTACAAATGCTGAGATAACCATGTAATTAAAGTTATAATTTCTTATCAGTATAATAGATATACATTTTTCTGTGTCTTATTGCATGTGATGATTCTTTTATATGTAATTTTGTTTGTATTTAAAGATTTTTTTTGAATTGTCATTGAAAAATTTATTTCATTATGGATTAAACTCAATCTAATCAATCATCACAACAAAGTAATATCTTGTTGTTTCATTGCTAATGTTTGTTAGTATTATATGACACTTAGAATCTTGTTGAAATTTATTGGTGCCATACAACTTTTTTGGGTATTAACTGTGTCTCAATTTAGTAGTACATATTCAAGTTGTAATTAGTGTATTTAATTTGTTTCAGTATAATTGAAGAAATAAATTGTGTGTTTTACCCAATGCACCTTTCTTGTCTTTTCTGACATTTTAATTATACATTAAAAACAGTCAAAACTGTATATTGTTGCATTTGAAGTTTATCTATTTACTATCCAAATGAATATTAAATCACATTTCCTCTATCAATCACGAAATACTGGATGAAAAACCATCATTGGGTTCACTGGATGAAAAACTCATTGTGCCTCAAAAGCTGTTTAATATGCAATGACTTTTTAACTAATTGGAAAGAAAACCGAACAGACTTTTCTCCAAAATCAATGTTCCATGATGGCTGGGGCTGATGTTGCGGCCATTTGAATTTGAAGCCCCTTAAATTTTGGTGATGCTTTCCATGTAGATCTTTTGAAGATTTTGAAGTTTTTTCAAAATTATTCCAAATATTTTCCTTGTGTAGAGCCATGTATGCATATAAAAACAGTGCAAGACAATGGTGCAGATCTCACATTGGTTAAAACCCAAATTTTTTGGGGTCTTCCAACAAATACAATTATGAAGATACAATTTTTTCTTAATGAAATGTGTTACTATAGCAGATTTTCAAATAATGTCATGTTGAATTTTTCTAAATTGTGTGTATTTTTTTAGAAATTGAGTGACCGCTCTGAAAATACTTCATTTCTTGATCGTAATTTTAGGTGTTTTGAGGAAGTTGATGCATAAGTTACAATGTGTATAGTATTTCATATTTATTTGTTCGTTCCTTACGTTGGAGCTTTTGTTATACCTTTACAAATTAATCTTTTAGAAATTATTTAAAACTTAATTGAAATAAAGATAGCCTTAAGTCACCTGCTCCCAATTAACACTGTTGGATACTACGTAAGTTAGAATTTGTATATTATTTCATTTTATATTGCGACCTTTAATAAATTGTGTCAATTGTGAAAATGAATAGATGAGTGGTCATTGTTAGTTGTTCTTACCTATTGTTGTAATGCCGAGCCACACAGAGAACATGATAATGACGGCTGCTTTCCGTTGGCAGAAATACTGCAAATACTTATATATGTGTATCCAAGTGATTTACATCTGGCGATGTTTCTCATTTCCTTTTTTCCAGCCTTCTCTATCCATTACATCTTCCTCTGACAAATTTCTAGTTGCCATCGTAGTCAGTATTCCTTGTTTCCATGGGGTTGATGGTCTGCCCTGTCGACTTCTGTACGGAGGTATCCATTTATATACTTGTTTGGGCCACCTCAATTCTGACATTCTCAGCAGTCATATCCATACCACTGAAGCTGTTTTCGTTCTACAGTATCTATTATATCCTTTTGAATTTCCATTTTCTCTTTCATTTCCTCATTGCGTATGTGGTGTAAACGAGATATTCTGCAACTTTGTCTCAAAAAGTCCATTTGAATCGTCAATAATCTCTTTTTGTTTTTTTGGGTTTTCGTACTTCCGAGCCCATATGTGACAATACTTTCTATGAAGGTACTGTATATATTTTTCTTTGACAACTGGGAGTTCCACAGAATTGGATTTAGCATATTTATGACTTCTTTCCCTTGATTTTATCTTATTATTAATATCATTACTTGTTCCCTCTTTGAAACTGTGAAGCCCAAATATTTAAAATTATCGCATAATTGTATTTTATCATTTCCAATGTACAGATCATTTCCATATTCTCCTGTTACCATATACTTCGTTTTGAACACATTTATTTGCAATGCCCATATTTCAAATTCCTGTTTAACTTTTCTAAACATATAGTTAATATCCTGCTCATCCGCGAAAAGTAGAACATCCAGTGTTGATTCTCCAATTTGCATTCCCATCACACTGCATTTCCTCCTCCATTCTCTCAGACCTTCGGCAATGAACACGTTAAAAAGAGTGAGGGACATACAGCACTCCTGTCTTCACCCTTTGGAAATTATTATATGATCTGATACTTGTCTGTTTACTTTCACAACACCTTTACTGCCTTTATTCATTTTCGTAATGATGTTAACTAATTTAAAATTACATTCTTGTTCTAAGATTTTAGAAAGTGCAAATGGGAATATGCTGTCATATGCTTTTTGGAGATCTACAAACAATAAATGAGAACCACTTCCACAAGCTTTCCTTTTTTCTAAAATTTGTTGGATGCAGAAAATGTAATCTACACATGAACGGCCAGCCGTTAAACCACTTTGTTCTATCAGATTTTTTATCCCTGACTTAATTCTTCCTTTAATTATTCACCTGTACAGTCAACTAATTGAACTTCTGACACCAATGCCTCCATAGTTTTCACATTTTTCTTTATTGCCTTTTTTATAAATCGATATAATTTCTGCTGTTTTCCATTCTTGAGGAATTTCTTCTTGATCAATGAGATATTTTACAATAATTTCTTTCTTTTGATCCAGAGAGTGTTTTAACAGTACAACCAGTATCCCTTCTGAACCTGGAGATTATTATTTTACATCTCCCTCAGAGCGTTATTTAATTCTTTTAAAGTTATTTTTGGGATATCATCATGTATTTGTACATTATCTGCATTATAACTGATGTATTTTTTCTATCCTCTCAGAAATTCTTGAAAATATGTTGCCCACTGCTTAATACTGATTGGTGACATTCTATATTTACATGACACATCTGTTTTTAGATCTTTTATTGATTTCTATGCCTCTAGACCTATTGCTTTCCATTAACCAATTTACTTCAGAGCATTTTGTTTCCCCAAGATTTGATAGTTTGATCTTTTGGAAGTTAGGTTTGTGAAAAAAATAAGAGCCCTAACTAAATAGTGGTCGCTTCCACATTCTGCTCTTAATACTCTTACATCTTAGCATACAGATGAGTTCTCTGTCTTAATATCACCTAGTCATTTATTTAATATTCCTGGTAGGTCGTGTCATATAATTATGGATACCTTTGTGTCTATAGAACCCATTCATGATTTTAAGATCCATCTGACTACATAAATTTATTAATCTTTCCATTTTTACTACATACTTTTTCTCCATAGTTACCTACTATATTATTATTCTGTTTATTTCCCATTCGGGCATTTAAGTCACCCATTATTACAATTTCCTTAATTGAAGAAATGTTTTCTAATATTGCCACTAATCATCAAAAGAATCTTTTAAAGATTCTGTTGCAACTTGAGTTGGGGCATATGCTAATACAACCATATGCTGACCAATAATATTTAACTCCACTGTTAGTAGTCTCTCATTAAACTCATTCTCTCTTCTTTTTTTAAAATTTTTTTATTCTTCTGATACTCCACATTTAGGCCTGTTATCTTTGTTTTCACTACTATATATATGGATATATTTGCGGTAGTCTTCAATTCCGTTTCCTTTCTTCTTAGTTTGCGTTAATGAACAAATGTCTATATTTAAACTTTTCCAACTGACTGAATACTTCTTCGTACTTTTTGCTAATACTCTGTATATTCCACGTTGCCATGTGCATTGTTCAGTTTCGTTGCTTAAGTCACCTTCGATTGGGTCCGTTTAAAGGCTGCTTCGAGTTTTTAACGTGTTCAGATTTTTACGGGAATGGGGTGTTGGCTCATAGCCCAGCCTCCAACCTAGCAGGCCAGGATTTGTTTGTGGGTTTTCTCCCCTGTAGAGGTTGGCTCCACGCCTTTCTGAGTCCTTTCAACCCGTGGTTTTGTTTCAGGATTTTCTTTTTCTTAGCCTTTGGGGGCTCTGCCCCCTCCTGCAAGGCAGCTGTTTGAAATCCGGAAAGAAGGGGATACAGAAATAGAAAGAGAGGAAGATAATATAGAATAGAATAAGGAAAGAAGAGATGATAAAATAATGACTTCCTAGCCCTCGCAATCTAATAGCATCGGGGTCGAAAAACTCAAGTCGGTCTAATAGGAAAAAATAGAGGAGTATGGCACAAAGGAAAAATAACCATGTCACACTAGTAAAGGGACCACCTTTAAGTTGCCAGTGATGGAGGAGAGGGAGGGACATGGGAACCAGGCACGATGGACTTTGGATAGAGGTGATGAAGAAGTACTGGTGGGTCGTGAGACAGCCCTTCGTCTGGCTCCTCCGCTGAGGCCTGTACAGTATGGGTGCCCCTACTGGTAGCATCTTTGATCGACTCTCAAACTCATCATCAATACTACCCCTGAATACCGTTAGCCCCATAAGAGCACACAAACCTCCTCGCCCGCACGGTCAATGCTATTTTAAGGCGGTGTCTCCTGGAGGAGGACTTAAATATATTTGTAGAATATTTCAATACCATGATGTTTAATAATTACTATCATATATTTTTCGATTTATTTGATGTCCAACGCTATCAAGATCGTATTATTTAATAACTTTTAAATATTTTGCTTTAATGTATTATATAATATTTAATAAAAAAAATAATTTGCTCTGGACATAAATATACCATCACTATACGAATGCGCATGTTTTGTTGAACTGTCCTTTTGCTTATAGTGGTAGGAGTACAGCTGGAGGTGCGTTGCTATTTTGTTGGCAATACAGAGGAATCAAATCTGGAGGTCGTTTGCCGAGGCAAATAAATTTTCTATAACACATAAAAGAAAATGTCTAGTTTCTACAAATGTTGCCAATCTCGCGCTTTTTAAAATTTTATTAATATTATTTATTTTTTGACTTTTATTCATCTTTCAACTATTTATAGTTCAAATGTTGAGAAGGGGTTCTGAAACTCAAGAAGACGTGCGCAGTTGTTATTCTCCCTCATACATCACATACTACATTCTTTTACTGTTTTTTTTTTTAAATAAAAGAAAGTTCAATACAAAAGATCTCATTCATTTTCTTGAAAATATTAGTAGTTTATCATAATACAATGTAAAAAAATGAAATTGCATATTCCGAGTTTCCTGCGATTCGTTTGATGAGCTGTCATGTTTTCAAACAATGGATTCCAATTTCCTGCACTTCTTTCACTAAAATCTTTCAGAAGTTTCAGCAGTATTGTCAGGGGTAGGATACTTCCGACCATGTTTTAAATGAATCACGCATGTAAAAGAAGCAATGACAAAATGGGGACGTCCATAAATTACCTAACGAAAATTTGGAGTATTTTGAAATCTACTCTTTCCCTTTTCGCGTGCTGGTTCCCCCTTCTAAACTGTAGCTTGCTTACAAGATCCCTCCCCCATTTATAAGGTGTAAATAATAATAATATTAATAATAATAATAATAATAATAATAATAATAATAATAATAATAATAATAATAAAGTAACAATGAGTTGTATTTATGTTAATTACATATGTTACATATTAAAAGTGCTGGTAATTGAAGTCAGAATTAGTTTGCAATGCGGACTGCAACCTAACAATAGGTTTAGGACAACTTTCGAATGAATGAAAGACGCTTAGGCACGACATTTTTGACGAGTCGAGCACACGCTATCGTGGATGACGAATGGGTTCCGCGTCTACTGCGCCAAAGTAATTGGATTCTAGAATATCCTTTAAATCAATATGGAATATTTCCTTCGCAATCTAATAGTTTCAATCAATACACCAATGATGAAAAGAATTCTACACATTGTAATAATTTATGCAGCTTAATTTTTTATTTATTTATATTTTAAATGTATTGTGTTGATATTTAAATCTTTCAAATTGAATAAAAGGAAGTATTTCAACATGTGATTCAAAATTTTAAAAATAACTCTTCCTTTTTTGGCGTTATGTAATTTATGGACGATCCCAATGATATATTTGTTAAATCAAAATGATTTATTCAAAAACAACAACCCAAAAATTGATGTAATTGTTTGTAATAAGGAATTTAATGTTGGACTTTATGACAAGTATTTCTTTATTTACTAGGCTGTCCGGGTGACGCCGCGTCCATGGCGAAGGTGCCGACGTTTCGGTCGCCATGGCGTCGGCACCTTCG